AATGACATAAGTACTACATTGTAGGGCAAGAATAAGGGAGAAGTAAACTGCCATTTCTCTGCCACCAAGAAATTGTTCTGTRCTAATTCGTAAAGCTGCTACTAAGTCAGATAAAACTTGTATGGATTTCTTTCTATTAGAAATGCAATAAAACATAGAGGGAATACTACTTGTCTTCACGTTTTATCTATTATATACAAACTTTATTATCAGCAGATCTCTCTCTAGAGATCTTCAAGACAATATGCATTGTTTGTCATCTCCCCACCATCCTTCAAGATATTTTCTGGAGATAATTTAAAGTATTTTCTGTTTCCTAAAATCTGCAGTCCTTGCACAAGCAAAATTTAACCCTGTAACATTCTGCAACTACCACATCAATGGGACAGTACTAATGTTTTCATACTTGCTAATTGTTTTAGTGTGACATAGGACTCATGCAATATAACTACATCAATCATATACAACTTGGTTCCGTATCTAAAGGAATGAGAGAAACAAACTGCAAGACATACTTGCTCACCCACTGGCATTCAAAAACAYCCTAATTCATCACCTAAAAATAATAAATACATTTACTAAACTAAGGCCTTAAGGCCTTATTGATTCTGTCTCAGATTATTTCATTTTTAAGTACTAACTTGTTAAGAAAATCACTCACTTGTTTTCTTTTACTCAGGTATAGGGGAGTGGAGGGTGGGGAAAAAAGAAAGCAACACACACACRAGGACAATGTGGAATTCTAAGCAAGGCCAGAGACATTGTGCAAGCATATTGTCTTTTTAAGAAGACAAATGCAAGATATGCAAGTGATGCCCATATGGTATGTTCTTCATTTCTGGTAGCTTAAGATCATAAAAGGAACAGATGTTTGTTAATGATATCAGAAAAGCCTGACAATGTGTTCATAACAATAAAGAATTACATTTTTGAAACTCATCTGTTTGAGCTTATCYGAGTCACCAATGATTTTGTATCACCTTATTAAGGTGATTATAAAAAGAAAAGTATCAAACAGGATGAAAAATGTGGGTTGTAATTAAAATGCCGCCATCAATACTGTCCAATTTAGCTTTGTATGTTAAAGGCATTCAAAGTCCAGATTATCAAGAGCAGTTTGCAAAAACTTGAATATTATTCTTTCAGGTATAGTTAGGTAAGCTAACATCATTACTTATACACACTTATTTTATTTGCAAATTCTATGCAAACTAATTTTTTTGTAAATCTCAGATGGAACAGTTTCATGCTTTTCACTAATTGCTCTTTGAAAGGTCAAAGTAAATAGCCAAAATTGGATGAGTTGTGTACAATATTATCTCATTGATTAATATYTGTATAACAATCATCTTTTCAAAAGTACCTCTGTGCTTTCTTTGTTCTGGTAGATATATTTAGATGCACACATTATATAGAGCTTTTATATAGAGAAAATAATCTCTAGTTCTCAAATAGAAGAAGAAAGTGTCAGTACAATAATTTACCTGCAGAATCAAGAYTTTCAGGATCATTGTGACCCAGTTCAGCTACTGATCAACTGAACCCGTACCAGTTCCGTACCAAGGGAAGCAGTGTGCCCCCATATTTTTTTCCCCCCCCTGAGTGAAGTGGTTGGAACGGTTCTAAGTTTTGCAAAAACACTAGCTAGCTTTCTGCTTCTTCAGAAACTACCCTTGCTTTAATACATTTCATAACATACTTCATTAAAAATATCTAATAACCTCCTAAATTAAGTAGGTCTGAAGGTGATAACAATGGAAAGTAAATTTCCTCAACGTCCTGGTTGGAAACTGCTTGGTCCCTTATTTTTGTGATGTGAAAAGGTGTCTTTGAAGAACTGAATCTATAATTAGATTGTTTGTTACTGTACACTAAAGAAACAAGTATGATTTAAATGAGTACAATCTGAATGCATAACAGCTTRTACAATACATCTTACTTGAATATCTATGCATGGATATACAGATAGCAAACATCTTGGTATCTTTATTGCATTACATATTTATATACTCATACAATGTTTAGGTTTTTTTGTATTTTCTATAAAACAAGCAATATTATACAAAGTTAAACAYTTTTTTCATGTTTTGGCACTGCTCGCTATTAAATAGAAGACCATTATGACACTCATTTCATTTCTATTGCGGCATAGTGATAATCATTTTCATTCCATTCAGGAAAGAGTTCTCAGAAGTATCAGGATGTTTGCCAATGCATACTAAAACTTTTACATARAAGCAGCATTTTTTATTTTTTTAAGCAGTGTATGTACAGCTCTGCAATCCATTAAATGAAATGAGAGAGAAGATCACAGATCAGAGAGACAGGATTAGTGCAGAACAGGATATGTTTGAGCATTGGCGTCTATGCGTGATTGACGCCATGGCTGACAGTAGAAGTGACAGATGGGAAAAACAAGTGGGTCAGAAAAATGTCTGTACAGAAGCCAAAAACTACAAAGCACCAGCAGCAGCATTATCACAACATTAATAGCAATCAGGCTTATTTTATGGGCACAAATGAAGTAACATGAGAAATTTCTTTACATTTCCAATATACTAAAATACATATATTTAATATCTTGCTAGTTATCTATTATCTTAATTCCTGCTGCATTCAAAAAGCATCTGACTTGTTCTTCTGCAAGACCCTTGTCTTATAAAAATATCTTGTTAAAGAAGTACTAAGTTAAAATAAGATACTGAAATACTACTATCAGTAGGAGTTTTGAAGCACTCCATAATTTCATTTGTTAAGGATGTTTAATGAAAGTTGCAATTCATCTCTGAATTAAAAAGACGGCCTGAGCTCTGAAAATTTGATAGTATTTCAGAAAGTGGTTTGGGGCCCTTAATATCTATAAGGTGTCATATGCATGGAGAACAATTAAAATTATGTCCTTAGAACTTCAGTATAATTTACACTTCTCAAAAAAGAGGTAACAGAACAGAAGGCACACRTGAAAATTGGGGATCACTGACAATTCAGGAATACCTATAATAAAACAATATTTTAGGATTATTTCATCTAATGTATACAATATTATAGAAATAGAAGTATAAAATCTTACAAGCCTAAGTAACTAGATATCAATACTTTTTAAAACTTTGTAATGCCAAAAAATATATTCAATGCATGCAGAAAGAGAAATCTCTCCGCTACGCCTCCTCCAAATTCAATAACTACCTATAAGCATGTTGGCATAAACATGTCAGTGCAGAAAACATGCATAATTCTTCCAGTGCCTACCCTATGCTTGAATATTCCTTCAAACTACTAAAATTGTCTGAGTTCAGTTGTCAGCCTAGGCAGAGAAATGCACAGCATGTAGAAAATTCAGTAGATAAAAGATTTCCTCTAGAGATGTTATGGATATACCTACAACAATTCTGGGCAACTGAGTACTGATTTCACTGCACGTTAAAAGGTAATGGATAACTCCGTACAAGTGGCGCCTGACACTTCACTTTTGGCAACAGTTGTCAGCAAATTTTCAGAAGCTTAGGAAATACATTTCTTTGCTTAGTTAAACTAGCATCTAATGAACATGATGAACACTTCTCATTAGCTCATTGCTTTATTTCTGCATTTAATTGTTCCTCGCTGCATAGTGACTAAACACCTGAATGTCAAATACAAAAATAAAACTTTGAAATCATTTAGATTGGTAAAGAATGTAAAGTTTTGTAGCAAAAGGTTTTGTTTTCAATTTATTTAAAGTTGAATATTCACAAGTCTCCTATTTCTGCAACCTTATTTGACTTTTCATACTTTTATATAATTTGTATTATGTTATAAGGCAATAAAAGTATTTAAACAATACATTACATTATATTTAATATCGACATGATTCAACATCATATTACATTACTTCAGAAAAAGATTGAGACTTCAAGGGAAAGGAAAGTTGTAAGTCACAAGCTGCATGAAATGGAAGGTTTAATTTGTAATATACACCCTCAAAATGAAGGGCCATAATTCCTTCACATGATGCAAGTAATAACATCATGAAGAACTTCACTGCACTAACAATTCCCTCTAAACTTCAGATTTAGCTTAGCTTTAGATGCACATGTATAGCCAGGGCGCAATGGAAAGCAAGGAAATTGAGACTAATGTGATGCACAAAATCAGCTGAATTTATTTATGCAGGTGAAATGATTAAAAACATCTTTCCAAAGCAATACAAGAGATGTGTTGTTTTGCTACTTAAATTCATTCCTCTTCTCTTTTTAACTTTGACTGACATTCACTCTTCTCTCCTCTGCCTTTGTTTTCCTTCTCAAAGCGCATTGCAGCCCACTTCCATAAGCACCCATTATGTCAAGACAGCAATCCTTACACCTATTGTACTTGCCATGTCACCTCTCATTACTTGCTTAGCAAACTAAAACAAAAAATACAAACAACAACAACAAATAGCACTGATTTTGCTGGGATTAAAAAAAAAAAAAAAAAAAGCACAAAATCCGCATTCTGTAGCTCTAGGTTCTTTCCATTTCCTTGATACAGAGCTGCATTTTAAGCTAGATACCACAGGCATAGAGTAAGGTGCAGTGAAGATACCAAAGTTTGGGTRGAGAAAAATACAGACGAGGGTTAATTTTTTTTAAAGGAAGCCCACAAAGGACATTATTAATTTGCAAGTAAATTGGAATCATATTCAATTATGGGTTTAGTGAACAGAAAGAAAAATCTAASGGGATTGTAGTAGTGCTTCAACAACACATAATAAACAGTTGCRGGCTGATTCCCAGACTGCCTGAGAGGCCACACAGTCTATCCTGTCCCCACTACAGCAGTCAGCCTTGCTCATCTCAAGCAAAAAGAGTTCCAAAACAGAAACTTAATCGCATTTTCTGCATTTCCTTCCTCTTCTCTGGGTACATTCATGTCATTTCAAATAMCACAATCCCCAGGAAACAATCTGGACAATTTAATTAACACAGATGTGCATTAGCTATAGAAATCTTCATATTTTGAAAATAGTTAGTACTTACCTTTATTTCTTGAACTTTCTTGACTCTTCTCTTGCTGCCATTGGAAGAAAGAAAAAAATAGTATTAATTATCAAGTAACTCATAGACACAGAGACCAATTTAATCTAGTTTCTCCTCCTTTTTGGTGGGAGTAGGTACCCTTTRAGGGTTATAAAAGACCTCCACAGCCTGATTTAAACCTCCCCTCACCTGTGCTCACTTAAGAGGCTCCTGCCCACCTACATTACACGACACCAGGTGTGCTTGTAATTGCCCRAGCACAGATGAACCACCTGCAGTGTCAGAAAGCTTCATCCCAGAACAAACTTAGCCAAGATCCCCACACCTACAAGTAGATTTTCTCCCTGCCCACCCACCATTTTTTCTAGTTCATGCACATCCAACTGAACATTAAAAGAAAGTCTTCAAAGCAAATAAAAATAGTCTTTTCTTTAATAAAATAGCCTCAACCTGCTTTCATCGATTGTAATAACTGTAATTTCTAAACCTCTTTTCAGTTATTTTCTAGTCTCTTTCTCTTTTTATTATTATTACACATATTTTTAAGTCTGCTGCCTGAGGCATTCCAATATCCTGGAATACAAAGACCTTTGTAGAAGGAGGGGTTTTCAACACCGCAGTTTCTAACCACAGCAGCATTATACAACATGTTCTGCCTTCTTCCAACRTATCATTTCTCTGTCACCTGCAGCATGGCACAGCTGTACGTTTTCCCACTGCAATCGCCTCCGTGGCCTCCTTTGGCCCTGCTACGGCACCGCCATTGCTCACTGCAGCTTTCCCTCGAAACATTGCCCTCAAATTTCTCTGTATCACACCATATTGGAAGGTTGTTGAGAAAGGATTCATTTCCCAGGGCAAGGCCACACAAAACTACATGCTGAATTTCAGGTTTAGAAAGCCAATGACTKACAAAATAGCTCAATCTGTATTTTTGTTTGTTTGGAGGGGTTAACGAGCAGAGCGAGTTATTACACATCCCCACACCCAGAAGATTAAATATGAGCAAGTTGTTGACAAAGCAAGAGACTCCATTTTTCCTGTCATACGAGAATATCCATGTATATTTGCATATAAATATATTTTGTAATTAATACAAATGTATATATCTTCTGAAAACTAAATATAATTTTCGCTTTTAGTTTCTACTGCACCATAAAAAATAAAAACAAGAGAGAGGCTTTAGGCCTTTTGGCTGTGCTAGGAGCATGAAAACGGAGGGCGGAGGGCAACATTGCCATCAAGGGCATGAGACAACACGAAAAGACAATTTGAAAAATAAAATCCCACCACAGTGGAGATATCTGTCATATTTTATGTAAACCACATGGCTTATAGCCCTTATGTCTGTTAACATAACCTTTCTATCACATGTAATTTTCCTTGTGCAGCAACTTGCACACAGCAGTCCATGAATAAGGAAATACGAGCGCTGCCCAGGTGGTTCTTTTATTTAAACAGATGTGATTAAACTACACTTCTCTGGTTGTATTACCTGTGCTAAAAAAATATTGAATGAGAAGCCATCTGAAAATTTAGAAATAGAGGAATGTATGTTTTTAAGCAGCAAGTTTTACTAGAGAGCCAAAGTTCCACACTGAGCATGAACGGCTCATTATTAAGAAACAAAGAAATGAGTCAAAACTACGTGGTGATGCTGCTAAAAAGAATTTTTCAGAGGCCTAGCAAGCCATTTTCCAGAGAACTCTGGATATGTCTGAAATGGTCTGATACTACAGCTGAAGTTCCGCCTCCGTCATTCATTCATTTTTCCCCATTTGACACCCAGGATGATTGTGGCTTGGCAACCATGCAAGAGTTATTTCTCGTCCAAGTAATAACGGCTACCAGTTATTCTTCCAGTTTAAAGTTTAGGCATATTTTATTTCCTGGCAGGCTATTTCCTCAGAAAGGCTGAAGTTCATGTAATACAAAAGTTTTAAAACACGAGCCATTTTCCTTAGTAGCTCATTCATCCATAATTGCACATATTCACTAAATACCCGCTGAAAGAAAGAAGACAGTAAACAATTTGCTGCATTATGTGATACTCTCTGTTGAATATAGACTTAGCTATTTGTCTTCAATGATATGAGAATTTATTCACAGTAGCAATCTGTTCCCAAGATTTCAGATTTTGATTTTAGACAACTGTCCTTCAAAGAAATGTTGTTTTATGCACTGTAAGGTATTCTTCAAACATTTTTTTCTTCATGAGTTTATGCCAGCAGAATGGYGTACGGAGTAGGCTAAAATACTCCTGAAGGTCTGTCGTCAATACAGGATGGATTGATTTTAAGCATTTAAACCAGGGAGGGAAGATAATTTTGTGGTAATCTTTAAAGAAAGTGGTATCTTGAGTGCTCTATAATTTAGTGATAACAAAGTAAGCCTACCAATTACAATGCAAGACTAACTGCACTGTTTTAGTGGATCTACAAATACCAAAGATTTGTCATCGTGGTGTTCCTACCAGTCTTGTTTATTCTTAAATATACAGAGAATGCCCATATAAATCCAGGCTAAGAACCAAATGTTTGCGTGCACTTTTTCATAGATTGTATAGTACCGTTTTAATAGTATTTTTTCTGATTATCTAGCAAACAAAAAAAAAAAAAAAGAAGAGCTATTACTAAACTCTGTATGATTTCCATGGAAAACTATCATCAGAAGCTAAGCTGTCACCAGGGCCACTAAGTAGCCTTGAAATTGATGTAAGCAATGAAAGTATAACCAATTATACAAACATATTTCATAATTCACAACTATAAAGAAATATTTAGCTATTATTAATGTTATGAAGCCATCTAATCGYCAAAAAGCTAAAAAAAAATTAGTGTTTCTCATTTCCAGTAACCTGATATTACAAATATGTCAGTGATCTCTTTTTCAATTGACTCAAAAAGTAGATGTCAAAGCACATCTGGGAAGCACATTTTCAAAATTCTACTTAACTGGTTAAGAAAAAGAACAATTACAAGTTTGAAAATGTAATTCTGCCTTTATTGTCAATAACATATGGTATAGTAGATTGTAAAGTATTTTTACATAGATGCAGAATGTTTCCTAATTATAACGAATAGTATTTTCTCAAATATAAGATACTACAGGTTGGGTTATATTCAAAGTAAATCTAAAGTTGTGATTCTCATGCCACAGTAGTTTTAGTGCAGCTTAATTCCTTTGACAATTTTTTTTTTCCAACTATTGTCAGCATTTGGTTTAGAAGATCTCAATAATACTTTATTTGGTCTCCACAAAGGATGATTTGTTCCCATATTCATTTTATATCTCTTCAGAAGTCAGAAGATGAAACTTAGACCTTGCACTAACAAACTAGTATAAACTCAGTGGAATCTTATTCATTTTAAGCAGGCTCTACTTAAAAAGCTTTATAGAAAATCTGTATCCAAGCTAGCACTCAGATACTGCAATTTATAGGGCTTAGGGCTCAGTGAACTGCTAAGCCCCACAAAGCTCACCAGTCATTCCTTTCCCTTTTTTCCTCCCTTTCCTTTTAGCTTGYAATTAGAAAGAATGGATAAAATTTTGACAAAGCTGCAAGACCTGTAATGTCCACTGCTCAGAGTACAATAAGTAATTTCTGAARGCTTAATCCAAGCATTGATTATTAAATCAGAGTAGCCTGGCAGGAAAGAAATTTTTAAAAGCAAATCTTGGTTTCAAAGGAGAAGACTAGAAACATAAAAGGGAGGGGGGGAAAGTCTTTTGTAAGAAGAAAGAGTTTATCAAGTTTGGCCAAAGTTATGAGAAAAACAAAAGTGACTCACATGAAATTTTTTAAAAAAACAAAAATTAGATTTTTTTAAAAAATTTTGTTCTCATTTCAGTGTTACCATTTACAAAAAAAAAAAGTTTAATGGAAAGAAAACAGTGGCTGTAAATTTTTTTTAAATGAATTTATTTCTTTAACATATAAATTTCAGCTAAATTTTTTTTGAGCAGCTATACATGGTTCTTACTTTTTTTTGAAAGGTCATTAATTTAGGTTTTTAAACTAACATTAAACCTACTAAGAGCACTTTTGCTAGCAGATCTTATATCASCCTCTGTGCGATACACCTTGTATGTGTAAGCCAGCAAGAACCCTAGCAGCAGCAAAGCAAACCTAGGAAAATGAAATCCTCAAATTATATCAGGACTAAACATTTATTTAAGGGCAGCACCTCCAAATTCTAAACTTAACCTTCCTAGCAGCAGCCTTTTAAAATAATAGACATTTCAAATGAAAATAGAGCTAAAACATTAAAAGTAAATGTCTACTGACGGTGCACAAATACAGCCATCCTTTCCTGAATCCAAATAGAAAATACCTTGTATCTTATTTAAAAGATACAAATATGAGGATTAACTTAGGTAGAAAACCACAAGACAGTAATTTATGTTTGTGAAAAAATGCTATAAGCACTTATGACTTCGCAAAATTAAGTTTGGATGTTCAGGGAAATAGGAAATGCTTTGTCTGGGGGTGGGGAAAASACTTCCTTCACTAAATTTTCTTTTTTTTTTTTCCTCTAAAGGCAAGAAATGGCAGAGTCCTGGAACAGAAGGCAGGTAAGCAGCAGTACTTTATCATCACAGGTGTTTCTGTTTGCATTTGTTCAGTAATACTAGGGCTCTGATGTGGTCCTGAAAAGAAATAAGTTTCCACACATGTTCCACTGGCGAATAACTGTAAATGCGCAAGTACTRTTGTATTATCTTGCAAAGTTTGTAAAACAGTGGTGTGGAAGAGCCAATAGAGCTACTATCAAACACATTTATGTTATTCTATTCTTCTATTGCAATGTGATATATAATCAAAACATTTTCACTTGTTAAGAAATATTTACTACTATTATATAAACAATATACATTTACTGTTAGAAAAATGAAACAAATCATCACAATGTCATCCTGTTATCCCCTGTTATAAGTCATCTGTCAGTAGAACAAATCATTCTGTATCCCCAGGATTTCCATCTGCATCAGTGTACAAGCACAGTTTGGGTACAYTGTTACTAATAGTCTCTG